TAAAAGCAGCAATTTGTTGTTTGAAACAATTGGGCCTTTAATTAGACAACCAGTAGTATTATATTCTAAATTTATCAAAATCAAATCAAACACAAATTACATTTTAATTTATATGTGGATATTTAGTCCAACAATAATAACAATACAATATTCTAATTACTTACTGAACTCGTATTTTAATATCAAATCAATTCCTATTGTAAACACATTGACAGATATTGTGAACAACAATGATCTCTATGTAATTGGGGATAAAAGTGATCTTGGTATAATAAAAAATAATATTGCAGAATTAAATAATACAATATCTATAATACTTAACAAGCATATGAAATATGAACATGCATTAAAAATGACCTTGGTCTCCAACGCATATATACTCCCGGTAAAAGTACTAGAAAATATGGTGGATGGTAAAACTGTAATATTGACAAATAGCATGTCGGCCAATCGCTTTAAAATGACGTTTGACCAATATCAAAATCAATATTCAATAAGTGAGCGCAAATATATACAAGATTACACATACTTTTTTGTAGCAAAGCAGAGCAAGTATAAACAGCAATTAATTAACATGTACGTTATACAATTAATAACCACTGTTATAATATTTAATAATTAAAATCTTACTCAATAAGGTACAAGCGTATTATTATGGCTGATTTAAATTATCATTTAGACCTTATTATAACACTTGTGTTAAAGAAGATTACTGTTATCAACAATTTGAATATAAAGAGCGATAGTTTGGACACAAATAATAATATGTATCAAAGGATTACATTTACAGATATGTCTAGAAATTCATTCTTGTTGTTAATCACCGGATATTTTATCGCTATTATTGTTATATTTGTTGAATTGATTTTATTTTATCATTTATTACTATATTATTGGATTTATTGCATTTACAATAACTTTATAATAATTTATTGGGGTTTAAATTTTTACTTTTATTAACTTTTTTTGTAAGTTAGTTTTTAATATGTAATAATTGGCAAATTGTGTATTATTTCAAGTATTAGATTGCTAAAATGTGAAGTAAACTTATAAAGTTAGATTGTGCCAATTGCTTTTTATACTAATTAGGTTAATATTATTAAGATACTAATGAAATTACTTTATATTTATTTATGCATTAAATAAATATACAGATTGTAGTGATTAAATTAAATTAATATAATCAATTTTTAATTATGTAATGTATCGTATAATTTATTTAATGTATCATAATTAAAAAAGAACAATATGTAACATAAAAGTTGATGATATCAATTAATCAATATATCGATATTGTGACATTAAAGTTTACAGCATATTAGATCTAACAACATTAACTAAACACTAATAATACAGTATATATGCGGTTGTTTAAAATTTTTATTTCATATATCTTTTGTAATTTAAATTATTGTTTAGCTAATAATGTTTAAATTTTAGTAAAAAATTTAATTAATTTAAATATGTATATCGATATTAATAAAATTGTCCATAAAATGCTTAAGGTTATACCACTTATAAAAGTTAGGAAGCATAATTTATACTATTGCAATAAATACAATAAAAATGTTACCGATATTGTTCTAATAGGTCATAAGGTAATAATGTTGTGAATTAATAAATGTTGATTATATTTTTTATTTAATTAATTTTATTGTATTTTTATATTTAGGGATATTTATATAGTATAGTGCTGTCAATTGTGCAATATATTACATGTAATTTCAATGTGATTGTTAATTTTACGTCGGATGTTACATTGCTACATAAATTGGTTGGTTTTACTAAAATTAAGATAATGTATTTGTTTTATAATTATGTTTAAATGACCAAGGGTGGACTATCTCTTCAACCAACAATGTCGTCAACATTATTGTCTGGTTTTGATGGAGTGCCTATTTCTGACGTATATCAGCTCGAGATAATAACCGGTTTAACACTTCAGCTAGATCGATCATATTTTAGTTTTATTGCCATTTTTAATTTTCAGGTTTGTTAATTACTTAACTATTTTATGCTTTTAACTACACTTTAAAACATGTTTTTCAAATGTGATTAGGTCTGGTTATATCTTATTATTGCAGTCATATTGATTTCACTATTAAACTGGCTTTTTAATATGTCCATAATGCAATATCATTTCTATTTATTTGATATATTATTACCACTTATTAAACAACCAAGTGTATTATTATCAACATGCTACAATAAACATTCAAAATTCACAACAATTGTTATAATAATGTATTTATGGCTATTGAGTGCTTTGATTATTACACAACAATTTAGTAGTGATTTATTAAACTCTTATTTTAATATCAAATCATTTCCTATTGTAAACACATTGACAGATATAGTGAATAATAAAAAACTGAATGTGGTTGGAAATGTTAATGTTTTCAATCTAACCAGAAATACCATCATTGAATATAATGATACTATGAATGAGCTAATTAAAAAGCATAAAAATTATGAACGTAAAATTAATAAAATGCTTGATTCACGTCAATATGTTATTCCTATTAAAGTACTAACAGACATGGTTTATGGCAAAACTGTAATAATTGGAGATAGCATCATGATCAATTGGTTTAAATCAATGTTTGAACAATATAGAAATCAATATTTTCATAGTGACCATAAGTATCTTCAAGATTATACGTACTATTATGTGCCAAAACACAATAAATATAAAACAAAATTAATTAGCATGTATGTAAATATAAGTAATTTCATTGTATAAATAGTATTTAATAAAAATTATCTGTTTTTGATTTTTACCAGGTACAATCGAGTTATAATTGGAGGGTTGAATTATCATTTTAATTCTCTTATTACAATAATATTGATGTTAAGAAATGTAGCCAACAATTTGAGTCTAACGAGTGATAGTTTGGACACAACTGATAATATGTATCAAAGGATTACATTCGCGGATATGTCTAGAAATTCAATCGCTTTGTTAATCACCGGATATTTTACTGCAATTATTATTTTAATTATTGAATTAATTTTATTTTATAATTTATTTTTGTATTATATTAATTTTTATTTACATCATTATAATTATTAATATAATTACAAAACTTGTCATACCTTAGAACATCATGGTTGGTAAACTCGACTTATTTAATCTATGTTAAATCTATGTTTTATAACTTATTGACAAATAAAATATTTATAGTATATTAAAGTAAAAATTTAATGAATGTGTTTAAAAATTATAATTATAAATGTTGTAAATAAAATAAAAACATTCTAATATTTATTAAAACAGGTAATTGTTTAAATGAATTAAACAGATATTGTAGTGTTTATTACCTGATATAAAAGTTAGGTAACTTATTATTTTTAATAATGGTTATATTGGGTAACAATACCACTTCATTAATATAAACATATTGTAAAGTTATACTAATTAATTTGTCCTTGGTGAAATTTAATCTAATTTATTTTAATCAAATTTATTACATATCAAGGTTACAAAATAAGAAGAATAATTTTATCGTTTAACTCGGCATATTTTCTACTTTATATCTATTAAATAAATGGCATATTTTACAATATTCTTTATGTTTACTATAATTTAATCTACATTAAAACATTAAATTACATCAAGAGCTGTTCAATATCATAAAGCGTTTTCATTGATAGCACAGGGTGACAAATATTTATCAATTTGTTATCTTGGTAACAAAAAATAACAAATATAAATATTGAGAAAACTGTATATATAGCAAATATTTTCTGACAAACAGGTATAAATATTGTCAAACTACTAATATTGGTTTAATAATAAAATTTCATTATAAATTTATTAAAGTTAATTTAATATACTTATTCTTAAAAGGCAGTGAACAAAATGTTTTTGTATATGTGAGTATTATATATTATGTTAAAATAGTTTCTAAAAAATAATTTAACAAACTCGTATAATAATAATTATAATACATTATTACTTAATTTTATTTAGCATCGGAACTATTATTATATTACTAATTGTGCAATATATGGCACAGTACTATGCAAAAATTAAAAAGTACCCACCTGGCCCGAAACCGTTACCAATTTTTGGCAATATTTTAAGTAATGATTGCATTAGCAACATGCTAAATGTGAGTTTAATTAATTAATTTAATTATTTTGCAAACATAGTGTTCTGGAACTACCAAACGAGGGGACACTGGAATCACGAGCTCATTGACCTGGCTAAAATATACGGCCCAGTGTTTACCATATGGGGTGGACCATGGCCAATTATCATTGTGTGCGATGTTGATATTGCCAAGGAGGCTTTCAATAAAAGTGATTTTTCAGGCCGCCCACCTTCTGACCTAGGTAAGTTTTAATAATTAAAAATTATATAAATTATATGATATACAGTGATTATTAATTTGTAATTATTCATAACTATAAACTAGGTGAAATATTTTCAAACGAAAATCACACCGAGATTGCATTTCGCGATTATGATAAAACATGGGAAGCTCTCCGTAAAGTTACACATACGGCTGTAATGTAAGTCCTAATTAACATGGTATAATAATAATTTTGCAATACTAATCATAATAAATTATATAATACTTATTACGTAGAAAATACTCGCGATTGGATGAGCTGTCAAATTGCGTTAACGAAGTGGTGGGCGACACATACGACGATATAATGAGCCGATACGGCGCTAACCGGCCTTTCCCTGTAAAGGACTACGTGTTTGACCTGTTCTGTAATGTTAATGCGTTGACCACGCTCAGTCGAAAGTATATTCAAACATGCTAGTTATATAAGAATTAAAAACTAATTTATAACTAAAATATTACATTAAATTAACTAGACTTCGGCCCGAAGAGATTGTTAAATTCAAATACACGTCTGACACATTCCAAACTGACCTGGGCAATTCGCTGTTTTTGTACGAATTCTTACCTATCGCCCGAAAGTTAATGTCGTATCCGTTGAAAAAGTACCGAGACTATTTTGACCAAGAGTTGCGTTTCACCTCGGACCAATACGAGACACACGTCAAAACTTATAACAATGACCACAAGCGAAATATTTGCGATTTGATTATTAGTGGCAAACAGGAGGCTCAGAGTCAGGGCAAAGACATGGCCACCCATTTGACCGACATCAACATGAAAGCCACCTTGATCGATATGTTTTTGCGTAAGTGTTTAGTAATCACTATATTTTACATTAAAATTTTATTATTTAAATGTTTCTAAAATAATCAAACATTATTAATAAAGTACAATAAATAAATAAATTAATTGCTTTTCAGCTACATCTGACACGACTCACACGTTTCTATGGATACTGTTGTACATCGCGTACTACCCGGAAGTTCAGCGCCGTATACGCGATGAGATTGAGTGCATAGTCGGCGACCGGTCGGCCAACCCGGAGGACAGGCATCGGCTGCACTATACCATGTCATACATATGGGAAATGCAACGAATCAGAAACTCGGTGCCCATCGGGCTGTTTCACTCGGCCGTCAACGATGCTAAACTAGGTCAGTTTTATAAAATATTACATAGTACAACACAATAATGATTAAGCTAATTTTTATTAGTGATAAACACATTATTTGTTTTTTTACTAACAAGTAAGGGTAATCTAAGTTCAATCTCACCTTAATTCATTGAGTTAATTTTTATAATAATGTAATGTTAACATTTTTAATATTTATATAATCTAGGTGAATATGTGGTGCCAAAAGGTACGCCGGTTGTTGTGCACCAGTTATCGATACTGACGGATGAGAAATACTGGGACAAACCGTTGGAGTTTAAGCCGGATCGTTTTTTGGACAACGAGGGCAAACAAATTACGGTAAAACCCGCGGCGTTCATACCGTTCAGCATTGGTAAGAGAAAGTGTATCGGCGAACAGTTGGCCACCACTACTCTGATGTTGACCCTGGTCAGATTGTTGCAATTGACAAATAATTATACAATCGCGCTTGAGAATCCAACCCCCGGTTGCCTTGAGCCCGATCCAATTAATCTTTGGTTGTTGTTTCCCAAAAAGTATCAAGTTGTTTTTAAAAGCAAATAGTTTTATGAATTTTTACAATTATTTGTTTGTTATTTAAATAATTAGTACCTTTTGTATAAACATGCTATTTTTAATTTACAATAAATTAAAATAAAGTTTACAATTAAAAAATGTTTTTAATTAGTTATAATTAATGAAAATTCTTTTAACATGTTGTCTTTCAAAACAGTAGTCAAAATACGAGAGAGAGAGAGAGAGAGAGAGAGAGAGAGAGAGGGCTGTTGTAATTATAATATTTATATAATCATAGACTTTAATTATTTTAGTTTGTTTGAATTATAATTGCTAAATATTACATGAGCATAATGTGTAATAATTACAAATTGTAAAACAAATAAAACATTAATGTAAAATTTTTATTTTTGCATAACAGTTAACTTTTTATACAGTATTATATCATTTATGTTAACAACCAGTTGTATAAATTAAGCATTTACATAAACTAAACCATTATCCAAACAAAGTCTATGGGTTGTGGTTTGAAGATTTGGTTAAATACAAAACTACAATTAACACAATTGCTTGTTCACATAAATTGTAAAATACTGTATATAACTATTGTACGTAGTGCGTTGTATAACTCAATTTTATCATAAACAAGTTTTGATTAATTGCACTTAATGCAACCATCAATTTATATAAATACATCATAATTAATATGTCAATGATTTACACTTAATGCTCGTGTAGTCTGAGAAAAGTTTTAAAAATATATTTACAAAAATGTTTCTCTATATGTAAGTTATGCAATATTCATAATAAAAATATATTAAATTTTGGTGTTATTTTAACTTGCTAGCATTTTATCATCGCTGGCTTTGGGACTAATTGTACAGTATTTGGCCCAATATTATGCTAAGCTTAAAAATTATCCACCTGGCCCTAAGCCATTACCATTGATCGGGAATTTACTATGAAATTACTTGATATAATTTTACATTTCACTTTTATAAATAAATTAATTTACTTTTTATTTAATACCAATTTATTCTTAATACAGTATTTCGCAATTATAAGGGACACTGGAATCTAGAACTTATTAAACTGTACAAAATATACGGCCCAGTGTTCACTATATGGTTTGGACCATGGCCATTTGTTATCATATGCGATCTTGACTTGGCAAAGGAGGCGTTTAGCAAGGTGGATTTCTCTGGGCGACCCCCGTCTGAATTTGGTGAATATAAAATCGTTTATATAAATTTAATTTATATCTAGTTTTTTGTTATCAAACATAATTTACAAGTATAATGAAACATGTTGAAATATTAATATACAAAAAACAGGCTCAATATTTAGCAATGACAAGTTTGCTGAGATTGCATTTAGCGATTATGGTAAAACATGGGAAACTCTACGCAAAGTGGGACACAGGGCTGTTAGGTATGTATGTGTAAAATATGTAAAATTATGTGATTATTTGTTATTAAATTTACATTGCTAAAATGTTACTAACAGCAAATACGCCAAGTCCGACGAACTACCATGTTGCGTGGATGAGTGTGTCAGTGAATTGTTGACCCAGGTAAAAGAGAGGGAGGGCGCCGATACACCATTCAACACAAAAGATTACATTCTGGGTTTATTTTGCAATATACACGTGGCTATAGCATCTGGCCAAAAGTATATAGTTAACATTTTGGTTTTTAATTAACATATAATAATTATAAATCTTTTTTTTTGGTCAGATTAAAATTGGATCAAGAACAAATGATAAAATTTAAGTATTGTTTAGATGGCTTCCAAACGGACCTTGGTAATCGGATGTTTATATACGAATTCATACCCATAATGAGATATTTTATGGCAAATCCGTTGACAAAATACAAATTATATTTCACTGAAATTATGGACTTTTTGGGAAAACTATATAAAAATGGGATTAAAAAACATAATAAAGAAAATACACAAAATTTTTGTGATCTACTCATCACTGCTAAACACGAGGCCGAGGCTCAGGCCAAGGAGTCGGCCCAATATTTGACCGATATCAATATAACTGCAACTCTCATTGATATAATTATAAGTAATAATTATTTAATAATTATATATTAAATATTAAAACAAGACTAATAGTCATTTAATTTGACCTAGCTGCCACCGATAATGCGCACGTGTTTCAATGGATATTACTATTTGTGGCCTACTATCCGGAGGTTCAGCGCAAATTACGCCAAGAAATATCTAACGAGCTTGGTGATCGGCCAGTGACCACCGAGGACAAACACCGTATGCACTATACAATGGCATATATTTGGGAAATTTTGCGATATAAAAATTCAGCCCCTATTGGTTTCTTTCACCAGACCACAAAAGGCTCCAACATAGGTTCATTTATTTTGGATCTAGGCATTTGGATATTTTACAATATATAAATTATCCTAGGCAAATACAATTTACCGGAGGGCACTAGTGTTGTGGTGCAACAATATTCAATTCTTATGGATGAGAAATACTGGGATAAGCCGGATGAGTTTAACCCTAGTCGCTTTCTGGACAATGTGGGCAAACAAGTGGTGGTAAAACCGGCAGCTTTTATACCCTTTGGTGTCGGCCGTCGACAGTGTATTGGCGAACAGTTGGCCACAAATACACTGTTTTTATCTTTGGTCAGATTATTACAGTTAACCACCGATTATAACATAACTATCGATAAGCCGGCCGCCGATACACTCGACGCCGACCCCATTAATCTTTGGATACAGTTTCCTAAACAGTATAACATTGTCCTCAAAAGTAAATGAGTATTTAGTATAAACATTGTAATTATATTTTTAAATAAACAATAAAAACAAATAACCATTTAATTATAAAATTATTGTTTATTAATTAATTATAATCTAACTATTATCAAAGTTATTATAATTGCTTAAAATTTAATTTATTCAATTTGAGTTTTATAGTGTACATTTTTAATAAATACAAAATTAGATTTATAATTACAACAATAAAACTGTCTATTTCATAATTACTTAAATTACATACTTTGAAACCTATCTCAATTTTATTAGATATAAATTTATGTAATGAATCATTACTTATGATTTAAAAAGTAAGATATGTGATGATATTACACAGATAATTGTGGGCATGTGTGTGAATTTAGTAACTTTAACAGAGAGTGCAAGTTTTAAAATTGCATTGCTAATTTTTACCGCATCTACAAATTAACAAATATTTTTGAAAAAAAAGATTATTAATTTTTAAATTTTTTAAACAGGTTCATAAGTTTGCTGATCAAAACTTTATATAAGGTTACAATTAAATAAATTTATTAATTTAAAATAAAATATAATCTATGACACGTAAATAGAGATAACAGGGTAACATTCGTTATCTAAAATCTGTCTACTTATAAAATATTAAATGTAAATATTTATAAACATTTCCTAATATTCTGTACATACAATTTAATTGGCTAAAATGGTACTTTATATAACTAAAAATAATCAACTAGATAAAATATGTCGCATGTACATATAACAAATAAGATGTTACTGTAACATACTACTTTAAGTGATTTGACATTGACAATCTAATTTATAAAATTAAATTACTATATAAATAGAGTAAAGAAATTGAGAATGATTTATATTTAAAAATAATTTCCAACAAGTTTTAAAAATATTTGTCAAAATATATTTTATCATGTTTTTATACATGTAAGTTATTAAATCGTAATAAATTATTAATCAATTAATTGCATATTTTTATTCCAAAGTGTTTTAGCTTCGTTGGTCATTGGACTCATTGTGCAGTATTTTGCCCAATATTATGCTAAACTGAAAAATTACCCACCTGGTCCTAAACCATTACCATTGCTGGGAAATGTGCTATGTAATTTTAAAAAATCATCATGATAATATTTTAAATTGTAATTTATAATAACTTATTATTTTATCATGTATGCGAATACAGTATTTCGCAATTTTAAGGGTCACTGGAATCTCGAATTAATTACTCTGTACAAAATATACGGCCCAGTATACACTATATGGATTGGACCATGGCCATTTGTAATTATATGTGACTTAGACCTAGCCAAGGAGGCATTTGCCAAGGTGGATTTCTCCGGACGACCCCCTTCTGAATTAGGTATTTAACTGCTTTATTATTTCATTAATATGTTAAACCTACATAATTGAAATTAATTAATAATTCTGTTATTCTACGTAAATAAGGTGAAACATTTGGCAACGCAGAAATTGCCTTTAGCAATTATGGTAAGATGTGGGAAACCCTACGCAAAGTGGGCCACAGTGCTATGCGGTATGTGAAACTTACATTACATACATTTATATCATGATGTTAAATATAATTTAATATTTTTTTATAGTAAATATGCCAAATCGGATGAATTGCCAGATTGTGTGAACGATAATGTTGGTGAAATGATATCGGTAATAAAAGACAAAGTAGGCGTCGATAAGCCATTTAACCCTAAAGATTATTTGTTGGAATTATTCATGAACACGCAACTTTCAGTTGCATCTAGCCAACAGTAATTTAAGCAATACACATTTACGTAATAGTATTTTTTTTTAAAAATAATTATTAAAATAGATACAAATTAAATAAGGACCAAATGGACAAGTTCAAATACTGTTTCGACGGCTTTCAATCCGACCTTGGTAACTGGCTATTTCTATACGAATTTGTACCCATATTGCGCTACTTTATGGCAAATCCATTGACAAAATACAAACAATATTTCAACACAATTAAAGGCGTCTTAAAAGATATCTATGAAAAACACGCAAAAACTTACGATAAGGAAAATACAAACAATTTTTGCGATTTACTCATTACTGCCAAACACGAGGCCGAGGCTCAGGCCAAGGGGTCGGCACAATATTTGACCGATGACAATTTGACCGCAACTATTATGGATGTTATAATGCGTGAGTAAAACATTATAAAACACACATGATACAATTATTTACCAATATTATATTGCTTTTTTACTCTAGCCGGTTCTGATTTAAACCATCAGTTTCAATGGATATTACTATTTGTTGCTTATTATCCTGAAGTTCAACGTAAACTACGTCAAGAGATAGCCAATGAGCTTGGTGATCGACCGGTTGTCACCGAGGACAAACATCGTATGCACTACACCATGGCTTATATTTGGGAAATTATGCGATATAAAAATATTGCACCCATCGGCTTCTTTCATCTAACCATCAAGGACTCAAAAATTGGTAAATTAATTAAATAGTTTAACTTAATAGTATTAGATTTAACATGTTACATTAATAATCACATTAGGTAAATACAGTATACCAGCTGGCACTAGTGTTGTGGTACAACAATATTCAATTCTACTTGATGAAAAATACTGGGATAAGCCGGATGAGTTTAACCCTGGTCGCTTTTTGGACAACGAGGGCAAACAAGTGGTGGTAAAACCGGCGGCTTTTATACCCTTTGGTGTCGGCCGTCGACAGTGTATTGGCGAACAGTTGGCCACAAATTCACTGTTTCTAACTTTGGTCAGATTATTACAGTTAACCACCGATTATAACATAGCTATCAATAATCCGACAAACGAAACACTAGATGCCGACCCAATTAATCTGTGGTTACAATTTCCCAAACAATATAACGTTGTTTTAAAAAGCAAATAATATTTTTGATTTTTGGATAGCAATGTTAATTATCTACTGTAGATAAAAATATCATAGTTAGTAAAGTTTATTTTCCATCTATTCTAAAAATTTTTGTAAAATTTTGCCCAATTGCAGTCTTATCTGTATGCGATATAACTTACTTTACCGAAATTAAATGTCATTATACATTTTAAAATTAATACTGTGTAATATTTTGAAAAAATTTTACGAATAAAATATATTCATTCATATTTATAAAACTTATTGAGCACTTTTATTATTGAACATACACTAATAAAATATACTATTCCAAGCTGTTTCAACGAGTGTAGCTCATGAACGGATAATCCTAATTTGAGTCTGTCTTCAGTAAATTAAATAAAAACTCCCCAGAAATGATCTACGTAAATGG